GAAGAATTTTATTATTATAAAAATAATTGAATTATTGCGAAAAACTTTATTAAAATGTTTAAAAAGAATTGAATTTCTGTGAAAAATTTTGTTATTTTTGAAAATAATTGAATTATGGCGAAAAATTTTGATATTTTTGAAATTTAATTTTAATTGATTTTTTCGAAATCATTAGTGAAAGTAATTGAATTATTGTGAAGAATTGTATAAAAATTTTGTTAAATAATTGATTTTTTCGAAAAATTTTTAAAAATGTTATTCTAAATTAATTGATTCCTGTGAAAATTTTATTACTAATGAAAATAATTGAATTTCGAATATTTTTTGAAAATAATTGATTCTTATTAAAGAATTTGATTATAATTTATTAATTTTTGAGAATAGTTTTTTGATTTCTAGTATTAACGAATTTAAAGTAGTGTAAAGTCTGAAAAAACAGAAATAGTAGCTTTTAGTAGCTGAAATCTAAAAAAAGTACCCAAATAGTAATAACGTAAAAAAAGTAGTAAATAGTAGGTTTTACTAGATGAGTGCGAAGCCTGTAATTTTCAATATTTCAATTATATATTAAATATAATGTAAGAAGAAATTTTCCAATTTTAGAAAACTTTTGGTTCTTTCTCTATTTAAAAAAATTGTATCTTGCAGTATTTAATAATCATTAAATGAAGTGTGATACAATTTTGAGGGATTTGAGAAAGAGAAAATGAAATAAAAATTCGTCACGAATATAAAAAGTTAATATTTACTTAATATGAGCAATGCTAGTTCGGCTTTGAAAGGAATGAAATTAATAAAAGTTGTGAAATTTTCTTTCTCATTTGTGTACAAAAAATGTACAAACAAACTTATCAGTAATTAATTAATGGATAGTTGACAAATTACTTTTCAACAGTTTTCTTGCGATAACATTATTTACATAAAATGTAATTTCTTTTAGACTTTCTATTAACACAAGTGGACATTTCTTTGTTGTTGTTAATATAAAATAAAATTTAAAAATATCTTCTATCGTTGAAAAATAGGCGTCAGTTTAAAAATAGAATGTGACGAGAAAAAGGTAACAAAATTTTACGTGCCAGAACAATTGGATCATGTGAGAGTAGAACAAAAATTCAAGTAGAATATTTTGACGTTTATCTTCAGTGGTTGAAGTTCCTTGGTAGAAATTTCAATTTGTAACGGGTGAAAAGCTTGCGAACTTTATTATCATCAAAAACTTTCTTTCCCTCTCAGTTTCAGTTCTATACTTTTCCAATAATGAGGTTCATGCACGAAATTGTCTACATATGGAAGATTTTTTCTAAAAAAAAAAGAAACACGATAAACTGAGATTTATACTTAATAATAATCACATTTGATGCATAGTTTCAAATTCAAGTTTTACGTCATTGATATTTTATCTCTAAAAATTTTGAATTTAAAATTTAAAACACTCACAAATAGTGCATATGTGTGAGTAGTATTAATAATATTTTTATTAACAATAATATCAGGGATTTTTATTAAAAGTACTGGAAAAAATTAAATTTTCAGAATTCATAAGAAAATTCTGAATTTTTCTGACTTTTGTTTTGTTTGCCTCGTAAACTATCAAATTACCACGAAACTTTCAATTTTTTTCTATTTCTGACAATAATTTCTAATTAAATAACTTCATTCATAAATAGATCAAGTTTAAAAAGTTTTAATTTGAAAGTTTGTAAAACTTCAATTTTGAATGAATTTAATTAGAAATTTTAAAGAACTTAGATTTTTGAAAAATTGTAATATTTCAAATTCTTCGAAAATTAGTTAAATTTTTTAATATATGCATCAAATTAATTATTAAAAATAAAGGATTTATAGAAGGATTTTAGTTAAAAACATTTTAAAAAAATAAAAAATTGTCATTTTAGAGAAAGCTACAAATGATTGCAAAAATTCAATTATTTTCAAAAGTTTTAGTATAATTTTTAGCAAAATTTCAATTATTTAAGCAAAAGTTTTTTAAATTATTCGCAGAAATTCAATTATGTTTAAAATTTTTTTTAAATTCTCGTCATAATTTCAATTATTTTTAGAAATAATTAAATTCTTCTCCGAATTTCAATTATTTGAATAAAATTCTTGGCAAAATTTCAATTATTTTCAACAATTTTCCTCAATTCAATGATTTTTAATGTCTACTATTTTAATAAAATTTTCCAAAGAATTCAATTATTTAAAAAAAAATTTAATAAAATTCTACAATGTGAATAGAATTCTTCTCAAGAAATCAATCATTTTCATAAATAATAAAATTTTTCTCGTGAATTCAATTATTTAAAATAATTTTGATAAAATGCTTTATAAATTTGAAAAATTATAATAAAATTGATTATAGAATAAAATTATTTGCGTAAAATATAACATTCTTCCTAGGAATACATTTTAATTATTTTAGTAAAAAAAAGATTGTTCGAAGCAATTCAATTATTTAAGAAATTTTAAGAAAATTCTTCCCAAGAATTCAATTCTTTTCAAAAATAAACATTTTCACAGGAATTCAATTATTTAAAAAGAATTTAATAAAATTCTTTGTCAGATTTCAATTATTTTCAATTTTTGTCATTGAACTTCTCGATGAAATTTAATTATTTTCAAAAAGTTTTAAAAAATTCTGAAAAATTTAATTATTTAAAAAAATTTGAATAAAATTCTTCACAAGAAATTAATTATTTTCATAATTAATATTAATATTTTTCTCCAGAATTCAATTATTTTCACAAATATAGAATTCTTCACAGGAATTTAATTCTTTAAAAATTTTTTTAATAAAATTCGTTGCAAGTATTCAATTATTTTTATAAATAACAAAACTTATCGCAGAATTTAAATTATTTTTTATACAATTTTAAATAAAATTATATAGAAAATTGCATTTATTCTTAAAACTTTTTTTATAATTCGCCGAAAAGATTCAATTATGTATTTAAAAATTTTTTGATAAAATTCTTTATTAAAATTCAATTTCAAGAAATATTCAATTACTTAATAAATTAATTACTTTTGAATTCAAATAATTGAATTCTCGAAAAATTTTCTAATAAAAATTGATTAAAAAATGAATTTCACTTAAAATTTTAAATTATAATTGAATATTAAAAGAGTTATTGTGTGTATTTTTAGAAATAATTGAATTTTGAAAAGGGGTTCAAATTAAAATATTTGAAAATTTGAATTTATAGTTACAATATTTTTATGATATAAAATAATGATTTTATTACTCTGTCATCTTAAATTTATTACAAGTAATTGAATTTCAGAAGGTTTGAATTTAAAAATATCTTAATTCCGATAGAGGAATAATAATGATTAAATATTTATTTTAAAAAGAAGTTATTCTAAAAATAGAATGGAATTTCGCCTGTTTTTAAAGATTTCTAACAAATTTTAATTTAAAATAAAATTATTCTTAAAAATTTTATTAAAATTCAGCAAAGAAATTCAATTATTTCAAAAACTTTTGCTACAATTTATTTATTACAATTTAAGTATTATTTTCAATACATTTTTAATTAAATTTCTTCAAAAAATTGAATTATTTTAATAGATAATGAAATTCTTTGTAACAATAAAATTTTTTTCAAAATAATTTTCATAAAATTCTTTGAAGAAATTTAATAAATTTCAAAAATTTGTCAAAATTCAATTATTTTCAATGTCTACTATTTCAATAAAATTTCATAAAAGAATTCAATTATTTAAAAAGAAATTTTAATGAAATTCGCCTCAGGAATTCAATTATTTTTAAAAGTATTCTAATTCTTCGCAGAAATCTAATTATGTTCAAAAATTTACAAAAATTCTCGTCAAAATTTCAATTATCTTTACAAAAAATAAAATTCCTGACAGATATTCAATTCTTTTCAAAAATTATAATAAAATTCTTGTCAGACTTTCAATTATTTTTAATTTTTAATACAATTTTAATGGAATTTCTCGAAAAATGAAATTATTATTAAAAATTTTATTAAAATTCAGCAAAGAAATTCAATTATTTCAAAAACTTTTGCTACAATTTATTTATTACAATTTAAGTATTATTTTCAATACCAACATTTTTAATTAAATTTCTTCAAAAAATTAATTGAATTCTCGTAGAATTTTCTCATAAAAATTGATTTAAAAATGAATTTCAGTTAAAATTTTAGATTATAATTGAATATTGTAAGCATTATAACTTGGATTTTTAGAAATAATTGAATTTTCAATAAGTTTCAAATTAAAATCTTTGATAATTTGAACTTTATATTCTTTTAATTAAGAATTGTGTAGAATTAAGTTTTTTCAAAAAATTTAATGAGATTTTTTTAAAATTATTTCAAGTTTTTAATTTCTAATACATTTAATTATGAGGAATGTCAGAATAATCGAAATTTCATAAAATTAAATTGTAAAAAAAAGAATTTGAAAATTCTCAAAGAATTTTTTCAAAAATTATTTAAAGAAATTGACCTGAAGAAGAATTTTAGTTGAAAATTCTAGAAATTAATAATCGTAATGATGAAAATAATTTTTGAAGAAGTTACAGTAACAAAGTAGCAAGTTTTAATTATTATAAGTTATTGAATTTGAAATTTTTGAAAATTTTAATTTCTTTATGAAAAAATAATAATGATTGAATATTTATTTAAAAATGAAGTTATTGATATTTTCGAATAATTTTCGTATTAAAAACCTGGAAAAATTCCAGGTTAAAATTTTTTAATCTGGAAAACCTGGAAAAAGTCAGGGAATTTGAAAAGAGCAAAAGTGTGGCAACTCAGGAGGTTAAAGTTTTGAACGTTCAAATGAACGAAATTTATTTATTTCCTCTTCAAATTAAATTTTTATTACTATAATTTTGCGTCACTATTAAGCAAATTAATTATAATGTTTCTAAATGTAAAATTTGAGTTTTTAATTTGAATTGTAATCAATAATCTATGAAAATATTTTTAACAAAAAATATTTCGTTCATTTGAACGTTCAAAACTTTTTGTTCATGGCAACTCTGAATTATGAACAATGTTTTATGAACTGTGAATAGTGCGTTATGCATTATATGAATGACGAGGTTTATAAATATTAAAACTCGAATTTATGCATACAATTAGAGATAAATTTTGAATTGTTATGTTTATTTTTTTTTGAAACTCATTTTTCGGTGGTGCAAGAACCTTATTGATTGTATAAACTCTCCTGAAGTAAAAATTTCATATAGGAGGTAGATGGATAGATGGATGGTGAGAAAGGGAGAGTGAACCTTGACCGTCATTATATTGATATGTAGATGGAAGCTTACAGACTGCCTTGTACTAGTGCGGTGGTATTTAATGAAACTAGCCATTCGTTTTGATTCGCTGATGTAGCGTAATGCGCGGATATATCAACCATAATCCATATACAATATTGCAATCATAGGTACAAAATCGGTACTAGACCCATATTTTTGTTTTTTTTTTTAATCTACAACTACAGACTTACAGTAATAAATACAATCTCTCTCAAGCGCTTTTTCATTCTTGGAACATTCATTTCGGAATGTTGGTATTACATTTTCGTTCTACTGTTTTCGTTAATTTCGTTAATTTCATTAGTTTCATTAGCATTTCATTCTCAATTAATCATATTCATGACTAAATCATCATAATCCATCACTTAAAGCTAAAATCAGGTTGTGCCTTTTATTTTCAAAGTTTATAAACGCGAAAGTGGAGGTCTTCCGGTGGCACGTACGGGTCTCTCGAGCCGGAAGCCCTTTGAGGCTCTCGTTATAATTCCGTGGTGAGTGGCTCAGTTTTCTCGACAATCACATGAAATTCAGTTTCACGATAAAGTCTGCCATCCGGGACAACCATCGTTATCCGGCTGTCCACCGGTGCACTCGATTCACTTCCCTCTTTACTGATGACGCCATTCTTTTTCGAGACAACGTCTGGAGCACTCGTGGGAACACTTATCCAACTTTTTCTATTGCTCTGCCGACGTTTTCGACAGCACCAAACAATGAGACACACGCTGATCAGCAGCAGAACAACAAGTGCCACGACAACCATTAAAAGTATCATAAGCGTGCTACTCAAGGCGCAATTTCTCATTTCATAATCAGTGAAATTTATCGGCGAATTATCAGCAATGTTAATGCAGAGAAATGTTTCTGGCCCATCGTTTATTGCCTCCGATTTCGCCGGCGATATTTCCTCCTGCTTTGTATGATGAAACCTCGAGTAAATATTTGTGTAATTAAGAATATCACTTTTCCATTTTGATAATTGATCACAATCACATGGCTGATCGATCAGGAGATTATCAATCTCGGGCCGAAAACTACTTCTGTCGAAAATTAATGATCCCTCCTCAAAAGCCTTCAAGGTATTGTTCTTAAAAATCAGATCATAAAGACCCAGTGAAGTTCCTCTCGATTTATTCTCCATGTCGGCTTTCATTTCCAAAAATGCCCCCATACCTAAATTTGCAAAACTATTATTCTTTATTATTACCGGTCCCCTTACGCTAATATCGAATGCCTCTCCCTCAACAGTATCGAAGATACAATTTTGTATGGCAACTGTTTTTGGTTTTTTCACAATGAACGCTAAACTTCTTAATGTCTCCATTCGCACACCGTCGAGCATAAAACTCTGATAAACCTCAATGTCGTTCATTGTTCGACTTGGAATGACGCCGTGAAAACTACCGCGAATAATGTGTAATATTTGAACGTCGAATTTTTTGAATGCATGCGCCTCAATATCGTAGACGTGACAGTCCTCGAGCCTTATGGTGTCGGTGTTGAGTAAATTTGCAAATGCAAACGCACTCATTAGACCTATTCGAACGTCAACGAACATGATCGTCTTGATGTCACCGCGAAACGTGAAACTGGGCAGTAGGTCGATGCTACTGTTACGGACAGTGATCTTCACGTCTGTGCAACGTGGTGATAGTTCGAAGCTTTGACGCTCCAGGGTCAAATTAGCCACGTTTACCAACTCCACCAACCGCAGAGCCTCGAGGTGGATTAAACTTGAGTTTGTCAGGTACACCGACGAGCAGTTGCTCACTGAAATTAAACTCGTTCGTGGAGTCAGCCATTTTTCACTCTTTGACGTAAGAATCAGCTCCTGAAATTTGAAAGTGATATTTTTCAGTTAAAAATCATTTTTCAATTTCACATTAAATGATTAAATAGAATAGGTATAAATTTCACATTAGATAGTACAGGTGAATTTCAATCTAGGAAAAAAATTAAAAAAGTCACTTTGCAAATCTAGAATGAAAACAAATTTAATAAATCGAATAAAAATTCACGAATTTCAAATCTTTAATTTTTTCGTTCATTTTCATTTCAAGTTTTTCTATATAAAAGATGTTGGAATTGTTGTCAAATACAGGGCTCCGAACTAGGTCCGTAAATCTCGTAAAAGTCCGTAACTTTGCTCAAAGTCCGTAAAAGTTAGTTTTTTTAAAAAAAATAACCAGTAATTTCATTGAAAAAGAATGAAAAGTTCGTACGTAAATTGTAAAAAAATTTGGATAATTTTAGAGAAATTACAAATGCAGAAATTCAATTTTTTCAAAAATAAAAAAATTCTTCCCAGAAATTCTTTATAAACAATTAAATCTTTCTCCGAAATTCAATTATTTTCATGAAAAATTTTCATAAAATTCTTGGCAAAATTTCAATTATCTTTAGAAATAATTAAATTCTTCCCCGAAATTCAATTATTTTCAAAAATTTTTCCTCAATTCAATAATTTTTAATTGGTCTCTACTATTCTAATAATATTTTCCAAAAGAATTCAATTATTTAAAAAAGAATTTTAATAAAATTGTACACAAACCTTTAATTATTCAAAAAAAAAAAAAATAGTAAAAATTTTACAGGAATTTTTGAAAAATCGAAAAAATCTCGACAAATTATCTTATGTAAATAAAAAAATTCTTCATCAAAATTCAATTATGTTTAAAATTTACAAGACAATCTCGACAAAATCCCAATTATTTTTATAAATAATAAAATTCATCTCCGAAATTCAATTATTTTCAAAAATTTTAATAAAATTGTCAAAATTTCAATTTTTTTTTAATTTTCCTCATTTCAATGAATATCAATATCTACAATTTTAATAAAATCAGACAAAATAATTAAACTATTTAAAAACAATTGAGGCCTTGGATCCAATAACTCGCCCGACGCTCGGAGACTCGCGCTAATGCCAGTCGGGTAGCAGTGAGTGGCCCAGAGGCGCTCACTGCTCACTGACTGGCAGTTGCGCGTTCCTCCGAGCGTCGGGCGAGTTATTGGATCCAAGGCCTCAATTTTAATAAAATTGTACGCAAACATTTAATTATTTTCATAAATAATAAAAATTTCCCAGGAATTCAAATATTTACAAATTTTTTATAAATTTCTTCGCGATAATTCAATTATTTTCGTAAATAATAAAACTTATCGCAGAATTTCAAATATTTTTAATACAGTTTTAATCAAATTCCTTGAAAAATGCAACTATTCTTAAAAATTTTATTAAAATTCGTCAAAACAATTATTCAATTATTTAAAAATTTGTTAATAAAATTCTTTATAAGAATTAAATTTTAAGAAACATGCAATTATTCAAAAAATTTTTTTTGTTTTTAAATAATTGAATTCTAGTAGAATTTTCTCATAAAAATTGATTCAAAAATGAATTTCAGTTAAAATTTTAGAATATAATTGAATATTAAAAGCATTAGAGCGTAAATTTTAAGAAATAATTGAATTTTAAAAAGGTTACAGATTAAAATCTTTGAAAATTTGAATTTTTCATATTTTTAACTAACAATTCAGCGGAATTAATTTTTTTTGAAAAAGTTTAATTGAGAATTTTTTTTGATAATATTTAAAGTTTTTTATTTTCTAATATATATGTAATTGAAGAATTTACGAATAATTGAAATTTTGTAAAATTGAATTGTAATTATTGCAGAATGATAATTATTTTTAATAGAATTTTAATCGATTTTCTCGAAAAATGTAATAATTCTTAAAAATTTTATTATAATTCGTCGATAGAATTCAATTATTTAAAAATTTGGTGATAATATTCTGTATGGGAATTGAATTTTAAGAAACTTTCAATTATTCAATTTTATTTGCATTTTATTTGTATTTAAATAATTGAATTCTAGTAGAATTTTTTTATTAAAACTGATTTAAAACTTAATTTTAGTTAAAATTTCAGATAATAATTGAATATTAAAAGCAACATAGCGTGAATTTTGAAATTAATTTTTTTGAAAAAGTTTAATATTGAAGTTTTTTTATATTATTTGAAGTTTTTATTTTCTAATGTTTATTTAATTGAAGAATTTACGAATAATTGAAATTCCGTAAAATTGAATATTGTAAATAAATATAGATTTGAAAATTGTCCAAAAAACTTTTTCGAAAATTATTAAAAATAATTGATTTAAAGAAGAATTTTAGTTAAAAATTCTTGAAAATAATAATTTTATTGATTTGATAATGATTTTATCATGCGATCATCTTTAATTATAAAACATAAAGAAATCGATCACTCCGAGTCGAATCACTCCGAACTCGGAGTTATCGATATCTTCATGTTTTATAGTTATGAAAAATTTAATTTCTAGTTTCAAATAAAATGTTCTCTTATTTGACTCGGACCCATTATATTTTTGTCATTGGTCCGTAATTTTTGTATTTTTGATCCATAAAGTCTGTATTTTTACATATATTATACTTTCACTGATTCGAGCCCTGCAAATATTTTGAAATATGTAGACATATAATGCTTTAGAAATATTAAAATATTTTACATTTTTTAAAATGATTCAATTTTTATTGAGGGAATTGATTTTTGAAAGCTACGTTTAAAATCACTGTTTCATCATGCAATTTATTTTTAATTTATATATGTTTATTTATACCTGTTTATACATATTTTAATTTAATATGTTTTGTGAACACTAGAATTTTTTTAATTTTCGAGTTTATAATTTTTAGTTAATTAATTAAACAAGTTTGTTTAAAATTTACATGGTATACATATTGTCCGGAAAGTTTTGTTATAAACTACATTTATGAAAGTTTAACAGTTGAAGGGAAACATGGAATTTTTTTTAAATTAAAATTTACAGAAATTGTTAATGGAAAATCGAATTATTGCTCATTATTTAATATATGTATTTCAATAAATTGTGAATTCGTATTTTTATGTTTGTTCTTTTTGTAAGATACATAAACATAAAAACATTTTTCTTTTTGTCGGACTTAATAACTGTTCCTTGATGGATTATTTTTTTTATTCGTAAAGTTTAGAATTAGTTAATTAAAAAGTTTTCAAATATACGAAAAATAATGCATTTATACTTGTGTGAAAATAATTGAAAGATGTAAAAAAGCAGAAATAAATGCAGTTCCTTTCTTCTGATTCACAAAATTTCATTTTTCAAAAGTTCTCTGTTGCGATATACAGTTCTTAGGAAATGCATTTATCAAAAAGAGTGTCGTTTGTTTAGACCTTTGGCTCGATGTCCCAGATCGATAAGTCCCCAAAGGATTGAGTTGTGCTTTATCGGATTGTGGGGGAAGGTGTTTCAGACAAGAAACACGATAGTCTCTCGAGAATCAAGAAAATTGACGAAGAATAGTCGAACGTCATCTACTTGATATATATAGGAGAGGTGGGGGGCGAAGCGGCGCACACTTTTCTTTACTTAATAATATTTCTTATTGACAGAAATCAAATAAGTCAAAATATATCGAAACTTCTGTGACTGTATACTTTTGATTTGGAATCATAAAAAATTATTAACAATTTTCCAAACGCATCATTAAATATTAGTTTTTGTAAAATTTTATAACTGTGGCGCTTTGACCCCAACTCGATACAGACTCTAACAGTTAATTATTATATATAATAATTAAGGGACAAATTTTCTTTAATTAAACTGGTATAACTACGCTAATTATTCTAAATGTGTACGCCTTCACCGTTGAATCTCTTTCTTCCCATGTCGAACATGCATACGACGTCGTTAAGTTATAAAAGCGGTTGAGCTTAACTTTCATTACACCGGAAGGGCTTGTCTGTGTTATTAAGTGCGATTTAATTCTCGCACTCGCGTTTTACGAGACTGCCTTAAAACTTGTCTTGATGGCTCTAAAATTACGTCCACGTGGAATTTGCATTCTTCATTTTATAGAGGATTATTCGATTTGAAAGTAGAGATGATTAAAATATATATATAATTAATAAATACGTTTAAATTTACGAAATTATTTTATTTCTCCTTTAAATTTCAATTTTATACTAATAATAATAAGGTTAATAATATATTGAATCTCCTATCGAAAAGTAAATTGTGAATGTTCAAAACTAATTAATTAATTAATTATTACTGAAACATATCTTTATATATAATTCCTTCTCTAGAGTCGATGTCAGGGGGATTCGACCTTCTTTAGAATCCGTTATCACGAGTAGTCTGAAGTTGGATCAACTTCTTTGTTACGATTGGGTCGATTAATTAGATTATCGGTTCAAGTATGCTTGCCGCAGCGTTCCTTGGGCGCGCTTGTTTGCCAGACAATGGGAAAGTAACAGAAGAACGACGTGCCTTTAGCTCAATTTGGTGTGGGTTTAAGTTTTAGGGCATTTGCTACTTTAATATAGTTGCGCATAAAAAGATTCTTTTAAAATCATCTTTAGAGAGTTTTCATATTTTCCATTTTTGAGTTTCTAGTTCCGTTCTCAGGCTTCACAGTGCCCCTAAAAAGTATTTTAGAGAAACTAGGGGACTTTTAGGGGACCATAAAAATTGGTTAAATAAAGATAAAAATATTATTTATTTATACAGGGTTGTCACAAAAATTTAACTTTATTTTTCCCTGACTTTTCCCTCATTTCCAAACACAACTTTCACTTTTTCCCTGACCCTAAAGAATATTCTGATTCACTCTCAAAATTATTAGATACTCAGAAAAATGTTTTATTAAATTTATTTACAAATTTTTTCAAAAGTAAAATTATTCGAAAACATTAATAGTTTTATTTAAAATAAATATTTAATCATTTTTTTTTCATTGTAATTAAGATGTTCAAAAATTTCATAT